CTTGTGATATTTCAGTTTTTCTTTTTTAATAAATCTGCAAAAATGTCAACAATTCTGTGTTTTTCTGTCAATATGGGGTGCTGTGTGTACATTAATGAGGAAAAAAAATTAACTTAAATGATTTTAGCAAATGGCTGCAATATAACAAAGAGTGAAAAATTTAAGGGGGTCTGAATACTTTCCGTACCCACTGTATATATATATAATGTGTATATGTATATTCATATATGTATATATATTTATATATATATATGTGTGTGTGTATATATATATATATATATATATATATATATTAGTTAGCTTAGTTAATTTTATACATGCATTATATATCTATGTATGTGTGTGTATAAAATTAACATTATATGCATTATAAAATAAATGTAAAAAATTTCCGTTTGTTTGTTTACAAGTACGTTGTATACAGTGGGTACGGAAAGTATTCAGACCCCCTTAAATTTTTCACTTTTTGTTATATTGCAGCCATTTGCTAAAATCATTTAAGTTAATTTTTTTTCCTCATTAATGTACACATAGCACCCCATATTGACAGAAAAACACAGATTTGTTGACATTTTTGCAGATTTATTCAAAAAGAAAAACTGAAATATCACATGGTCTTAAGTATTCAGACCCTTTGCTGTGACACTCATATATTTAACTCAGGTGCTGTCCATTTGTTCTGATCATCCTTGAGATGGTTCTACACCTTCATTTGAGTCCAGCTGTGTTTGATTATACTGATTGGACTTGATTAGGAAAGCCACACACCTGTCTATATAAGACCTTACAGCTCACAGTGCATGTCAGAGCAAATGAGAATCATGAGGTCAAAGGAATTGCCTGAAGAGCTCAGAGACAGAATTGTGGCAAGGCACAGATCTGGCCAAGGTTACAAAAAAATTTCTGTTGCACTTAAGGTTCCTAAGAGCACAGTGGCCTCCATAATCCTTAAATGGAAGACGTTTGGGACGACCAGAACCCTTCCTAGAGCTGGCCGTCCGGCCAAACTGAGCTATCGGGGGAGAAGAGCCTTGGTGAGAGAGGTAAAGAAGAACCCAAAGATCACTGTGGCTGAGCTCCAGAGATGCAGTCGGGGGATGGGAGAAAGTTGTAGAAAGTCAACCATCACTGCAGCCCTCCACCAGTTGGGGCTTTATGGCAGAGTGGCCCGACGGAAGCCTCTCCTCAGTTCAAGACACATGAAAGCCCGCATGGAGTTTGCTAAAAAACACCTGAAGGACTCCAAGATGGTGAGAAATAAGATTCTCTGGTCTGATGAGACCAAGATAGAACTTTTTGGCCTTAATTCTAAGCGGTATGTGTGGAGAAAACCAGGCACTGCTCATCACCTGTCCATTACAGTCCCAACAGTGAAGCATGGTGGTGGCAGCATCATGCTGTGGGGTTGTTTTTCAGCTGCAGGGACAGGACGACTGGTTGCAATTGAGGGAAAGATGAATGCGGCCAAGTACAGGGATATCCTGGACGAAAACCTTCTCCAGAGTGCTCAGGACCTCAGACTGGGCCGAAGGTTTACCTTCCAACAAGACAATGACCCTAAGCACACAGCTAAAATAACGAAGGAGTGGCTTCACAACAACTCTGTGACTGTTCTTGAATGGCCCAGCCAGAGCCCTGTCTTAAACCCAATTGAGCATCTCTGGCGAGACCTAAAAATGGCTGTCCACCAATGTTTACCATCCAACCTGACAGAACTGGAGTGGATCTGCAAGGAGGAATGGCAGAGGATCCCCAAATCCAGTTGTGAAAAACTTGTTGCATCTTTCCCAAAAAGACTCGTGGCTGTATTAGATCAAAAGGGTGCTTCTACTAAATACTGAGCAAAGGGTCTGAATACTTAGGACCATGTGATATTTCAGTTTTTCTTTTTTAATAAATCTGCAAAAATGTCAACAATTCTGTGTTTTTCTGTCAATATGGGGTGCTGTGTGTACATTAATGAGGAAAAAAAATTTACTTAAATGATTTTAGCAAATGGCTGCAATATAACAAAGAGTGAAAAATTTAAGGGGGTCTGAATACTTTCCGTACCCATTGTATATATATATGTATGTTTGTGTGTGTGTGTGTGTGTGTTCAGTTGTTCAGTTATTTCACTTTAATTGCATAGAAAAGGACCTTTAGTGTAAAATTACTGAATCTAAACATAGGAGCCTGATAAAAATGCTCATTTTGCATGAAAATTTCAGACGGCACTTAGAGGCTTTTGCATATATATATATATATATTATTAGGGCTGTCAGTTTAACATGTTAACTTTAGTTATGAAAAATAACGTGATTAAAATATTTTAATGCAGTTAACGCACTGGCCCCGCCCCCAGACCTGTACGTCATCTTACATTTCATACAGTTGACAAATATGATGCAAGGCAATAACTTAATAAATGCAATTATGGCCTAAAATTCAAGATATTGGGGCAAAAATGCTCCTGTATGAGTTTTTGTCTCATATTTATATCATGATAAGCGATATCACACAAGCAGCAAGAGCAATATTACACGAGTGCTGTTTATGTCCGAATACCACGAGTGCAAATGTGATTTTACACAACGGTTCAGTAAATAATAAGTTAATATTGTGTTCTTTTTTTAAACACAATATTGTCTGTTTTTGCTCCGTTTTGCCAACAAAAATATTACTTTAAAAAGCCACAGCAGAACTGTTGTGCGTCTCCGAGCAACACAGCTGTGTTTAGTTTCTGAATGAATCAGCGTTTTGAACGAATCGTGTAAATCAATGATTCAAAGACCCATTCATAGAGAGAGCCGTTTACCTCATTCCTGAATGAATCAGCCGTTTGAACGAATCGAATGAAAGACTCATAAAGGCGTTTACCGCCACCTGCTGGCAGTTTTAGTTTCTTATTTAGAGTATTGTTTCATTAAAAAAATAAAAGATAGGGAAAAAATCTTTAAAGGAATAGTTCACCCCAAAAAAAACTTTAATTATCCCATCAGTTACTCAAACCTGAATGACTTACTTTCTTTTGTGGAGCATAAAAGAAGGTATTTTGAGGTATTCTGTTGGTAACAAAGCTGTTTTGGTTACCAATGACTTCCACTGCAACGAAAATAAAAACAGATGTTGCTCTTCTTTTATGTTTCATAGTTTGTTGAATAAAATAAAATGTTCCTTTCTAAAGCTACAATTTATAATGTCTACTTAATTCTTTCTCATTTAACACAAAAATAGCGTTAAATTATCTTTTTGGGGTATTTTCACAGCCAACTGTAATTTGAGATTAATTAGATTAATTAATCGACACATGTAATTAATTAGATTAAACATTTTAATCGACTGACAGCCCTAATGTATATATAATGTTTCTCAAGAATACAGGAGAATGCAGAAAAAAAACATATGGGCTGTATAAAGTTCCCCTTGTTATAGAAAACCTGTAAATAGGGTAGAAAAATACTAATTTTAAAGCATGGAAAAGTTATAGAAATTAAAGGAGTAGTTCACCCAAAACAAAATGTATTCACCCTGAGGCCATCCAAGATGTGTTTGTTTCTTCATCTGAACAGATTTTAAGAAATTTAGCATTAAATCACTTGCTCACTTGTCCAAACAAAACATCTTAATGATGGATTGGTTTCCCACAAACATGCAGCACTGCAGTGGAGTCGTGTGGATTTCTTGTGAATTATTGTGATGCTTTTATTAGCTTTTTGGACTCTCATTCTTACGGCACCCATTCACTGCAAAGGATGCATTAGTGAGCAAGTGATATAATGCTAAATTTATCCAAATGGATTTCTATTCCTTTACTATCCCTTTAATAAAATGCTTAACTGAAATTGCTCCTGTGGAGGTGGAGTCTCTATGCATTGATTTTTTTAAATTCTTCTTCATTCCGTGAATAAAAATCACAGACAACTGGAAAAGTCATGGAAAATCATTGGCCAAACGATGTGAAACTCCAGTGTCTACTTGGGTTATTTGTAACTAAAAAGAGTCTTTATTGAATTTAGAATAAAATATAGCATATCTGAAAGTTACACGTCTGGTGTGTGAAACGTCTGTTTTTTGGACAGGCGCTGGCTCTGCTCTCTTGGGAAAGGAAGGGGCGATGGCCTGCACTGTGGCTGTAGAGGAGAGTATCTCAGAGCACTACAACAGTCAGATCAGAACTCTAATGGAGATAGATCCTGAGAAGTACAGCGAACTGCTGCAGGTGTGTACACAAGCCTTAAATGGCGGACTTCAAACTTCACACACAAAGAAACTGTAGAATTATTATGAGACCTTATGTATTAGAAGATTTAAACTTGAATTGCTTCTTTAATATCACAAAAATATTGCAAGTTCTTCTTTTCACTCATGCAGATTATGTAATTCATGTTAATATTAATGTTACTCGCTAAAAAATTTTTTTTTTTTTTTTTTCAGCTGATTAAAGAATTTTTTCTCAAGAATACAGGAGAATGCAGAAAAAAAACATATGGGCTGTATAAAGTTCCCCTTGTTATAGAAAACCTGTAAATAGGGTAGAAAAATACTAATTTTAAAGCATGGAAAAGTTATAGAAATTAAAGGAGTAGTTCACCCAAAACAAAATGTATTCACCCTGAGGCCATCCAAGATGTGTTTGTTTCTTCATCTGAACAGATTTTAAGAAATTTAGCATTAAATCACTTGCTCACTTGTCCAAACAAAACATCTTAATGATGGATTGGTTTCCCACAAACATGCAGCACTGCAGTGGAGTCGTGTGGATTTCTTGTGAATTATTGTGATGCTTTTATTAGCTTTTTGGACTCTCATTCTTACGGCACCCATTCACTGCAAAGGATGCATTAGTGAGCAAGTGATATAATGCTAAATTTATCCAAATGGATTTCTATTCCTTTACTATCCCTTTAATAAAATGCTTAACTGAAATTGCTCCTGTGGAGGTGGAGTCTCTATGCATTGATTTTTTTAAATTCTTCTTCATTCCGTGAATAAAAATCACAGACAACTGGAAAAGTCATGGAAAATCATTGGCCAAACGATGTGAAACTCCAGTGTCTACTTGGGTTATTTGTAACTAAAAAGAGTCTTTATTGAATTTTTTTTTTTTTTGTCAGCTGATTAAAGAATTTCGGGATGATGAAATGGAGCACCATGACACTGGACTGGAGCATGATGCTGAATCCGTAAGTCTGAATTATTGCCATGACAGAATGTCTTGCATGAACTACAATATTAAGATCCAAATCTTCAATAACAGTAATCATTTAAATACTTGTTTTTCAAGAGCCACAGAGATGTTTTTGCTCTGCCATTTTATGTTTTTCTGACACATGATGCATCTTTATTGCAGGTGCCTGGATACCAGCTGATGAAAGCAATCATACAGGCGGGCTGCAAAGCTGCAATATGTGTCTCAGAACGTCTCTAAATATTTTCAGAGTATTTAAAAGAGTTACCCGAATATCTTGTAAATATGGATCTTTGAAGTGTTAAAAATATTTTCTACTGCACCAGCTTAATTTGCAGATGCAACTATAAGCAAGCCATTTTGGGTAAATTTCTCCGAAATGTGTAAACACTGTGGTTCTATCAAAGTATTTCTCTGTTTGTTTGAGCATCCCATCCTGCCCAACACAGTAATATAGACTCAGCCAATGTTTAGGCTGGGACGTTTTCTTTGTGTGACCAGTAGGAGGAATATTTAGAAAGCCTGTTTTTAAAAATTTATTTTTTACAGTTTCAATGTAGTGGCACTAGTGTTGTAGAAATTACATATTTCATCTGTAATGACATGTTCCTCACAGCAGTATAAATATATATTTAAAATCTATTTATTGCGATTTTATACATGGCCAAAGTGTTTGTCTCATTCTGTAAGGTATATTCAAGAATAATATACTGTAACTTTTTATCAATCACAGTTGTGTTGCTATTAAAGTCATGTGTCTTTACAGGATGTGTGTTTGCTAAGACAACTTTGAACACAAGAGGGCAGTCTTTGCCTGTTAGGTAAAAGGTAATGTGCAGCCACCAACACAACAGGGCGGTCTGGACTCAACTGTTGAAATTATTTTTGGAGACCACACACATATTATATAATATGCTATAAACATGCTCATTTGTTATCTTAGTATACGCATATACTGTGACACATTTGCATTGAGTATTAGGGGAAGTTATCACACAGGTAGCTATGAAAACATGTAGCATAATCTGTGTAGCAGAGACGTGGGAAACAGCTGTAACCATCTCCCTGTGCTTCCCATGACTTAATCTATGAGGGCATGAAGTCATCCTGGACAGTCCACAGAGAGTGTGAGACCCTGGTTTTCAGTTCTAGTGTCTTGAGAGTTTTTACAGTATGTTGCCAATTGGTGAATTTGATTTGATAAGAAGAGAGCAGGCCATTAGAAATGCACAAATTATGCTCCAGGCCCCTTCCTTCACTTTGTCTAGAGTCTTCTATGTTGACTGTACTGGATAAAAGTTCTTGAGAGGCCCGTTTAGTTTGGCAGGTTCTGTTAGGGGGCAGAGCTACTGTATGCTCGCATTCAGAGAGAAGGCGGCTGATGCAATCCCAGTGTAAATACAAATATTCCTCAGCTTTCAGTGTACCATCAACTGTGACCACATTTTGTGAGGTTTTCAACTGCCCACTAGCCACAGGCTGCCTCTCGCCCCTACTGCCTTTCTCTCCTACTTTTAAAGGTTTTTATTTCTAAACATATCCCCCCATATATTTGCATTGCTTAATGGCTTAATGTGGTGCAGAAGCTGCCATACAAACTTTTGTTCTCGTGATGTGTCAGAGGAAGCTGACCCATCTGGAAACACTGCACGAGTTGCTAATTTTCAGTTGTTGTAAACTTAGCATAGCTCACTACAAACAAGTTTTGACAGTGTGTGTCTTGTGCTCAAAAGCTTATGCACAGACTTAGTGTTATGAATCATGTAATTGTGTAAATCTATTTCTCAGAGCTTGTTTCCCTCAGGACACAGATGCTAACCACAAGGCATTCTTTTAAAAGGCAGAGAGCTGCATTCAACTCAATGGTAAATGCATATCATCAGTGCATTTATCTGCTGTTACCCTTCAGGCAGCTTGATATTTTTAGAGGTGGCCACACCGATCAAAATAGAACAAGGGGTTTGATAAGAAGGTACATGGCAGAAAAGCAGCAGTAATTGCCTCCTGTCTGTTGCCTTTTTAAGTTCCCTGTCATGAACATCACTTCCTTCCTCAGTCATCTGCTTAGTCCCAACAGACCAGTTATGTTGTTATCTAAACTGTTCTGTCAGCCATGTTTAGCGAGCTGTCTCTGTGTTTATCCTCTGACGGGTCATACAGGTTTGTGTGACTTAGCCAGGTGCCGCTATGTTCTGCGTCTATGAGTGTCCTTACTTGATGCATTACTTCCATGGCCATGGGCAGTGTTTGTTTTAAAAAAAAATCAGAAGATCTTGGTAGGAACATGTGCATGGCAGAAAAGGTGTGGTTTTCTGTTTGTGGCCACCTCAGTGTGTCAGAATCAGAATCAGAATCAGAATTAGCTTTATTCGCCAGGTGTGTGCAAACACACGAGGAAGTTGTTGTGGGGTTTTTTTAAGGTGCTCCTGGTACATACATACATGCATACATACATACATATCTGACATGAGAACAGAAAAAAACAAAACAAAACAAAACAAACATTTAAATAGTAAAAACTTAACAATAAATAATGTGTATGAATCTGGAACAGTAGATTTATGTACAGATTTGTGCATTATTTACTCTCAGAATCAGAGCATCACAGAGTGTCTGATATGAAGTACGTATACTGTCTGTCTATTTGCCTAAATTCAAATTCTGTACACAGTACACAGGACTTTATGCATTTGGGGTAGTGTGATTAGGGCAGTGAATTGTATTTGACTAAGCTTTGAATAAGCCATTCTAAAACCTTATGTCCATAAAGCAAGATAATATTAAAAGGCTTATGTCCTTACAGCAGTATAAAACCATTTTGTGGACTGAATGAGAGTGATGACAATGCATACTTGTTCAGCATCACAGTGTCAGGGGTGACCGGGGGAGGGCTCACGCTGAGGTTAGGGGTCATTAACGGATCAACAAAGATACAAATTTCTTACTGTGACACTCCCTTCACAGAGAGCTGTGTGAAATACTTTGTGTGTGTTTACAGTGTTTCTGTAATCTTTCTCAGTGATCTTCTGTGTTTATAGGGGCCACACCCCTGCTGACATCATTTTCTATGATTTATTCCTAACATTTTCTTAAAGGAGTTGTGTGATGCTATTACTGTAAAACAATTTCCTTTTGTGTTCCTCAGAAAAAAGGAACTCATTCAGATTTGGAACCACATGAAGGTGAGTTTTTGGATGAACTGTCCTTTAAGTATTGCACCGTTTACTATTAACATTTGAAATGTTTATCATGTGGGTGGTTTTTCAATCCATGTATGTATTTAGAAGTAATCATGCTGTCTAAATCTCTAAGATAAGGGCCCATTCTGTCAGTAAGCACTTCCCATTTTGAGGTCTGTTTCTTTAAGAGAAGAGGGAGGAGGAGTGTGGACAGGCTCTGAGTTTTGAACGCCTCTTTTTTCAAACAGAAATTCCTCTCTCAAGAGTTTGGCATTTCCTCTGAGCTCACACACTGAGAGCCCGCTCTCCTGTTTCACACAGTGCTCACTTGCGACAAAAGCGGGGATTTTCAAACATCCTGAATGAGAGGAATCCTCTTGCCCTCGGCACACGCCGCATCTGCAAAGAAACTTCACAGGGTGAACTTCCCCCTACACAACAGTTTTTGCTCGAGAGGACGGAAAGAACATCAGCTTGGTCTTGTTTTCAGCATCTGGGCGAGTGGTTCAACATGGGCTAGCCCCAACTTTTCCCATAGAGCTGGAGTGGACTGGAAGAGAACAAGGAGGAGGAGGATGAGCGTTTACACTCTCAACCTCAGGTTGTTCTGGCCGCTGGTCACTTGCGTCCTCACTGCTCTGCTGCTATTGCACCAGTACATCTTCAGAGGAGCCGAGGACCAAGGGAATGACTGCGCTGACCAGGGACCTGGAGCTGTCACGCTCTTCAAGTACATCCTAGCTTTAATCTTATGTTACTTCTTCATAAAGTACTGCTCAGCTCAACCTGGCACTGCTAGGAGGGGCTTCCACAAAGTCCCGGAGGTCCACGGAAAATCAGGAGTCTCCAAGAGAGAGCTACTGGACGATCACTACGAGAGGCATGTGCGTCTTTCTCCACATGTGCTGGGCCACAGCAAAGCCCATGTTGCCAAGCTGGTGAGTGAACTTGTCAGAGTAGGTCGCACCGATGTCCCGCCAGAGTCTTCTCTGGCCTTCCGCGGTGACTTCATCCAAATCGGCAGCTCCTATGAGGAGCACAAGGTGGGCTCACCTGACTGCTTTGATATCCTCGTGCCTCTGAGGGCACCTCGTGGGCTAAAACTGGAGGCTGGTGTTTGCACTGACAAACCTGGGGGGCCACCGCTTTGCACACTAAATACACCTCGCAAGGCGGAGTGGACACGCCGTCACAAGGCCTTCGTGGACACGTTCATGCACTTGCACAACGCTCAAAGGGTCTACAGGATGAGCCCAGATTCCGTCCAGCGCTGGTTTTACACAGCCACCCAGCGCTGCCTCGCTGCCATCCGTTACCCATTTGAGCAGCGCTGCTCCCTCAGCCTGTCTCTCAGTGAGGAGCAGCAGGTGCTTCTCCGCCTGACCCCTCGCTCCGATTACGTCTGCTGCCACATCTCCATGGGCATTCGTCTGATCCCAGCCTTTCCTCTCGGCGATGGTGCCTTCTTGGTAGCATCCCAGCAGGGTCAGCAAGGAGAAGCCCTTTGGACGGTGTATTTTCCCAGACAGGAGCAGAGACTGCTGGCTTGGCTAAAAGGTAGACTGCCCCCCAACTCTTGTCACCTGAAGTGCCTTCAGCTCCTTAAAGAGGTTCGTAACCTCAGTGGGGAGACTCTGGACCAGCAGTCTGGAGCTGAGTGGGGAGGAGTGCTCTCGTCCTATGCTTTGAAGACCGCTTGGCTTCGTCTGCTGCTCAGTACACCCCCTGAATCCTGGGACGAGTGCAACCTTGTGGACCGGCTGGATGATCTTCTTCGCAGTCTGAGGGAGAGCCTACAGTCTCGGGCTCTCTGCCATTTACTCCTCGGAGGAGTTAATGGGTTTCTGCCAGACTCTGTCGTTCTGCCCAAACTTGTAAAGGAGACGGTACCCCCCAACCTGTGGGCAGAATTCAGTGACGTCACCCTCGATATGGTCTCCGCCCGACTGGCCTACTCCTGGAACCACCTCCCTCGCCTAATTCGCCTTGGGCGACCGCAGAGGACCAGCCTTGGCAGAGGTGTCCGCTGCAAATATATTGATGCAGAGTAAAGGTCAACTATAAATGGTATTGCTTGATTTCAGTAACTGAAATCTTTTTATGCATCTGACTTTTCAAAATTAAATTAACTTAAGTTGGGGATTTTATCCCCCAAAGGTAGCAGTCAAAGACAAAAATGTAAATAGTAGTACTCAGTAGGTACAGCAATACTTTTTATCAAATCAGTCTTTGTACTGTATAAATCAGTAACTATAATTGTAGGACGTACTTTAAAAAGCAAGGTCGTTCGAATTTCAGTTCATGATGATTTTCTACTCATGCAAATTTATTTCTAGAGAATCTGATATGTCAAAACTTTCTGTTTAAAAGAACAGTAACTCTTTTATACATTTAGCTCACTCCAGGCGTAAGTTTGGAGATAAAACTTGGAGACTTGTGTTGACTCAGGGTGACCATGATGTCACGGTTCTAGGGTAGTGAGCAGTCAAAACAGCATAAACACAAGTTTTTCCACACCCACACAGTATTAGTAATGCCAGCCTAAACAGATGAGCATCCTGTTTTGCAGGGAAGAACTGCAGTGTGACCACTGTAAAAATATCTTGTGCAGAGACATTTTGATCAAGCAATGTAAAATTGATAGCCTGATCATTGCAAAATGCCTTACTGACCCAAATATATCCTTTATTTTGAACAAATAAATGAGTAATGTTGTTTCATAACTGTAGCAATGTCAGTATTGCTTAATTGATTGCATTAAGCATTCCATCAATGAGTGAAATCATAATTGGTGCTCTAGTTCACCTCAGTCCATTACCTTAATTGGCCCTATAAGGATAAGGCACTGATGGCATGCCCTTTGCTTCACTTCATCTGACTTGTCTACAGGGACCCCAACATGCGTGCACATGATCTTCTCTCTCAGAGACATGCCACTACAGGCTGTCACTATGGAGACACGCTACCTCAGCCCAGGGTCATTTATTCATGCTGTAGCTTTAGTTTTAATGGCTGATTGCATAGCATTTACTTTCACAAAGGAAGCAGAGATCTATATTGATTTCTTGCAGGTACTGAGTGCCACAGGGTTAGTTTGTTAATCCCTTCCTGTTTATACCTCATCCATCAACCTGTTCTTGTTCATGGTCATGTATGTCAGACATATCTTAGTTTCATCAACTTCAGAGGGAAAAGATTGTGGTACCAAAGCAAAAGTCTTTGAGGCTTATTTTTGTCTGTTGCCTGAAAGCAGAACAGAAAATGAAATAAGGAAATGAAACGGGGCACAATCTGAAAGCAATGCTTAAATGTGGTCCAAAACAAGCGATATAAAATACAGAGTAACTAATGTTGAATGTATTTGTATATTAATGTATAAGTCATTTAATATGTATATTTGGTACTGTATGTGAATGTAAGTTGATTGAAAAGCACATTGTACTTGATGTACATAATAGAGAAAAACAATCTGTATATATATATATATATATAGTAGATATAATTTATACATGTGTTTTAATACATGAATTGAAATAAATATCTATATTTTGGACTGCACAGTTTTGTTGAATATTTGCTTATTGTAACACCTGCAATTATTTTTGTCAGAGACAATAGAATATGGAAACAGAACCAAAAGCCTGCACATGTCATGTCAGCAATTTATCATTTTATTTGCCATATATTTTTCTATAAACAGGTGGTGTGATTGTCTTCATTTAAAAGAAATATACATGCTTCAGGTAGCTACACAATATCTCTTCTAAAAAAAAAAATCCATGTTTAGATGACCTACTTTTTCTCAGTGCAGTCTATACATTTGTCACATGACACAGTTCAACTTGCTCTATTTAAATGTTTTATTTTTCATAATACTAAACATTTTTTTCCCACTCAGACACAGTGACAGTAATTATCTTCTGTATAGTCTTGTTTGTCAGTGTTTATTCTCAATTGAGTGTTATGTTTAGAGCAATGTGGCTCATTGTAAATTATAGTGTGGCATTAAGCTGGTGCTCTCTAACATAAGGACATAATCTCATCCTTTCTAATTATCATTTAATTTATGCATTTGCTTACAGAATTTGATTTGTTGGCAAAGCAGATCACAGCTGTAGTCATGGACGCATGATTGGGTGCCACAAGAGGTCAGTATGTGTTTGGGGCACAAGTAATATGGGATAAAAATATCATAATTCTGCTTTTTAAACAATCTCACAGTATGCAAGTTTAAATGCTTTGTATTTTTATAGTGTCTGGCTCCCTCTGATAATGATTTCAAATGTGACAGATGTCTTGGGTGTAGGTGGGCCATACACATTCTCAATGAACCCAGTCATTTGGAACTTAGAGTGGATATATTGCACCTACATTTTTACCCAACATTTCTGTAATCATTTACCTCATATGCTTCATGTTCAACCTGAACGCTCAAATGACTTACAATAGAGGGATATTAGCAATTCATCACAGATCCAACAATATACCTGCGTCTGTGAAGCTCCAAAATAGACCCCAAAAAAAGGCATCATAAAAGTTAATGCAACTATCTTCCAAGCTTTCTGAAGTCAAATGATAGCTGTGGAACAGACTGAAAATTACGTCATGAATTGAAATCTTGCTTGCCGGCTTTGGTCACCATCCATTTTAATTGTACAGAAAAGAGTAGCTTGGACATTTTACTATACACACACAGCACTGTAACTCTTTTGTGGAAGTCATATGGGTCAAAAGACAAGACGCAAATGACAGAATTATCATATTTAGGTGAACTATGTCTTTAAAACTGAAAGATGCCTGATATGGCAGCAGAGGTCACTGTAAGTCTATGTTTGATTTTTATCAGACAAGCCTTTCAACAGGTTCTCAAGAACAGAAACAAATAAAACGCCTGAATTCACACAATCTCTCATACTAAGTATAGTTCAAATCTATTAACATATTTACTTACATATTGCTCTAGATTTACTGATATAAAAATGACACTTCAGCTTCATTTGAAGTAGGCCTACTACTGGTGCGCAATGTGTATTTCTTAATATTAAGCCTAAAATGTGTTTTAATGTCACTTGATGAGGATTGTATGATCCTATACTTGCAATAGTTCCACTTTAGCACAATCAGATATACTTCAGTATATCTTTAGTTGGACTTCAGCACAATTAAAGTGCATTAAGTACAAAATTAGTTGTTCCAATTTAGCAGACTTTAAGTATACCAGTTTAGTATACCAAAAATTATGGGGTATTTTTATTTACCAGTAGTACATAAACATTTATTTGTAGTATACTTAGCATGAAATAAATGTATTTCAAATACATTATAGTAAATTTATTTTTCACTAGGGACTGTTTACAGTACACCCAGTGTTCCTTCCTCTTCTATTTAAACATCTTACTTTTTTCCTTGCCCATGTTACTTTTTGGCTTCTTGCTAGTTAGTTTGTAAAAAAAAAAATAATAATTAATAATAGTTTATTCCTTACACATTTATTTTTGTACAAAATGTATGATTTTTTTTTTTAAAGAAGTCTCTTTTGCTCACAGAGGCTGCATTTATTTGATCATAAATGAGTAAAACCAGTAGCATTGTGAAATATTAGTACAATTTCAAAGAACTGTTTCTATTTGAATATATTTTTAAATGGTAATTTATTCCTGTGATGCAAAGCTGAATTTTCAGCATCACTACTCCAGTCTTCAGTGTCACATGATCCTTCAGAAATCATTCAAATATGCTGATTTGCTGCTCAACATTACTTATTATAACCAATGTTTAAAGCAGTTGTCCTTCTTAATTTTCTGGTGAAAAACACTAAATTTTCTTTAAATTCAAGATTCTTTGGAAAATAGATTGCTCAAAAGCTCAAAATAGCATGTATTTGTAAAATAAATCTTTTGTTTCCTTGCTGTATAAAGCTATTCATTTCTTTCAGGAAAAAAACTCACTTTTGAACTGTAGTGTATGTTTTTCAGCCGCTGTAGTTCAGTCCAACACTCTGTGAAATTTTAGACCCCATAACCTGACGTGCTCCATACATGCCTGGTGAGCGAGGCCTTTCAGCAACAGGTCATGTGCCCCTGCCGTTTCCAAGGAAACTTAAAGTTCCTTGTGATCTACCCACTCAGGTTACAATGCTGCACCACAAATGACCATCCTGTCATATACAGATAACACAACTCACAGGCTCTCCAAACACAAGCACGTTTTAAAGACGGCAGCACGTCGGCGTACCTCAGTCACAGAGCAGCAGCAGGTGGCCACACAGACCCCGGCTCTTGTAAACTCCCCATGTAACGTGCTGCTTTCACCTGCCTGTCTCTCCTCAGCCTCTCCACTCGGTCCGCGGTGAAGGGAACAACAAGTGGTTGCAGCCAGCGAGGTGCTGTAAAAACAGGCTGGAGGAGGCGGGGAGGGATGCACATAACAAATTTGATAACCATCAGTGCTTCTGCAAACCTGGATGAGTCACTGGTCTCTGAAAGAAACACAGGGCAGGAGGGGGAAGGAGGGGAGGAGGGCTCTGCTCTCTCCAGGGAGAGGAGAGGAGAGGAGAGCTGGCTGTCTTGCGTGTCATTCGTGAGGACTAGGCAGGAAAGAGAGGGAGATTAGGAGTGTCTGGGTGGGTGGGATTGAAGATGATGGGGAGGAAGAGGAGATAGATAGAGAGATAGACTGAGGGAGAGGGGGTTTGTTTGTTTTGTATTTGACTCATCATCACTCTTGAAGTAAGGATGGATGGAGGAACCAAGTCCACAGAGACCTGAATTCATTACTCGATTCACATCTACAGATTGTCTCTCTCTCTTTCGCTCTTTCTCCCTCTTTTGTTGAGTAAACCTGGATCCAGAGAGTGGCATGTTGCTCTGGATGGGAAGAGAGACAGTGGGGCGAGAGTAAGAGGAGGATGGCGTACACACAGGTGGGTCCCATCACACACTCTTTCCCATCCGGATCTTTCTGGAGTACTCTTTTCATCTTCATATTTGTCTTCTTTCTGACATTTGTTCATAATCTGATTCTGAATCTTTCATCTCATGATTGTTTCTGGTCAAGGCCTTAAACCGTTTCAGTTGTATATGTATTA